GCAAGCATCTTTATCCACTGATCCATCTCACTGAATCCTTGATTGATATTTTATTGGGTTGTCCTTGTGCTCTTGAAATGAAGCCATTTTTATGGACTTTTATATATGTTGACAGGAACAGCAGCCATGAGTCTGGTTTTCATACTCTGTGCATCTTCTTTTTCCCTTTTCATGCCCAGTGTGACTCTTTCAGTGCTTCCCTCCCTCCCTTCCTTTGATGAGTCTACAGAGAGTTGGTGCCACACTTTTGAGGATCTAGTAGGGTGTTTCAGTGATGGCCCTTGGAGTGGTCTCTTTTCACCCTGAGTGCAAAAATTATGTCAGTCCTGGTAGTCTTTCTTTTTTGTTTTTGCTGATGTGGTTTTTGTTTGCTTCCTTTGTTTTTTGGTTGTGGGGAGCTGTTTGGTTTGGTTTTGGTTAGGGTCTCTGTGTAACCTAGTGGACCTGGAACATACAAAATCCTCTTGCCTCTGCTTCCTTGTACCATACTTGACTGGAGGCCTCTTTCTAAATAACTAGTTATTTGCACTTAGGAGGTGGAGGGAAGAGGATTAGAAGTTCAAAGTCATTCTTGGCTGCGTGAGACCCTGTCTCAAGAAAAAACAAAGCAGTTATTTGCTTAATGAATTCTGTTTTCTTGTTTACTGCTCCATGGGTTCTTTATCACCTTCCTACTTGCTTTGTGTTTCTTACCGTTTGTTTCTGCAGTTAGATGCAGTTCAGGAGACTCCTTCAGAACAGGGTCTCCTGTGGTACCTGCATCCATCAGTCCTCTGTTCGCCCTGTGTAGGCTTCAGACTCCCATTTCCCTCCATGGAGAAGGCCCACTGGTGGCCCATCTTACTGTTCCCTTTGTCTGAAATTGTCTTGACTCCCACCTCCCCACCCCCAACCCATTATTGTTGGTTATATTCCAATGTGATGGTTCAGAGTGATAGTCCACGTTTCAGTGCCTGGGAAACATCTGATGCCTCCTGGCCTCTGTGAACGTGGTAGGGAACTCTGCTGTTGGCCTCTTTTTCCCCTGTAGGAATAGGTAAAGCAGCTTTAATTGCACTGCTTCTAAAAGGTGGGAGGGGGATCAGTTTCACTCAGCTTCTTTGATCAGAATTGTATCTTAATGCTAGGTTAGAGATGTGTCCAGCCATTGCTCTTTGGGTTCATCTCCGCCTCTCATGGGAATCTGAACCTTTTGTTCCCCTCACATATGAGTTCTCAAAGCCACATTTGTCTTTTCCTCTCCAGTGTGTTTACTTTCTCTTTAGAGGTAATTTCTGATAGACCTGTGAGTTTGGTGATGCCTTTCCCTCTTGTTGTTAAGCCTTTCCTGTGTATTTGTTTTCATTATACTTTCCACCTCTACGATTTTCCTCAATCCTCCTCCTTCTGTTCTTTGCCAAAGCCCCCCCCCACCCCACCCCCATCTGTTTCAGGTATATTTGTAATTGATGATTGAAAGGATGCAGATAAACCGTCGTCATCTTGGGTTGACCTGTATGGCAAGTAATTAGTCTGAAACCTGGTCACTTTCCCGTCATATTAAGGACCTGGATCTTGTTTCGTCCTTTCTTACCTGACTTTGAGGTGGAGGGAAGGTAACATTGCAATGGGCTTGCTTCTGCAGAGCTATTAGAAGCCGGGCTTTCCACCTGTCCCCTCCCTGTTTTCTCTGAGATGGCAAAAGCAGAGGCCAATGTTGGACCTTTGCTGTCTGACTAGTTATTGTCTGGAAGATTCTTTAAATATTTATCAATTCATTTTAACATAACAATATTAAATCATTGTAGATGCACTTTAAAAAAAAAAAAAAAAAAAAAAAAAGACTATTCTCCAAATTCAGAAAGAATGTAGTGGGAACACTTAAGATTTTTATGACTCTGGCTTAAGAATCAGCCTTATTCTGCTTTCTCTTTGATGGGTATTCAAGGAGAAATCTGGCCCCTAGAAGAGTTGTCCCTAGAAGAGCAAGAGCTCACAGGTGCCCTGAGAGGTCCTGGGGAGGCTCAGTTTGATGACTGGTCTACAATGTCTTATAGGCCAAAGAAGGTGATTTTGTAATCCTGATGCACCTGGGACCCAGCACCCTGACAGCTCTCCTGGTGCTACCAGACCAAGGATGGCTGGGAGCTAGGCATAGCCTCCCCACAGTACTGACCTTTTATTAGCAACATTCAGCTTTCAGTAGAGAGGGCAATCTTCTTTCACTTCACTTCTGGTTAAAACTGTTAGACTTCTAAAGAGACTGTAGCGCATTTATTATTAGTAAAAGGAAAACTACATGAGCTTTTCCCCCATCCATCTTTGGAGTTGTGGGTGTTGGGAATAAACAGAAATGGTAACTATAAATGTGGCCAGTCAGCTGACAGGGGTCCTTTTGCTCTACCCAGATAGAAACCATAGGACAGGGAAGAGAAGTTCTTCAAGTGTTGGGTTTTGGCAGCTTTTGTGTTACTCAGCACTGGACAGCAGCAACTTGTGGCAGTAGGTGGCACCCTCTGGTGTTACAGCTCTCACAAGCCTCAGATAGCTGGGTCCTTAGTTCCACAAGTGTTACTAAAGGCTCTACAAGTGTTAACTGCTCTCTGTAGGCCTAGGAGATTGGAATTCCTTAGCCCTTGGCAGCACCTGGCATTGCAGCTTCCAGGCAGTTCTAGGTGCCAGGATTTGCCAGCCCTTGGTAGCAGCCAGTATTGCAGCCCCTAGGTCTAGGGTGGGGGCTATTAGACTCTTGGCTGTAAAGGCTCCTCTTCTCTGGCTCGTTGGAGCTTTCTGTCCTTCACTCGCAGCTCTCTGTTCCCTTGTTTCTGCCCTGGCTGTTCTCTCGAACTCTTCAGCCACCTCCAACTAGCAAGAAGCCAGCCACTTTGACACCTCGACATGCAGACTCTTCAGCTGTCACTGCCACTCTACTGCCTCTGCCATCACTGACTCTGCTGTCTCTGTTGCTGCTTCCTTCATGTTACCAACCCAACCCACTCCACTAAAAGTAGGCAAAAAGATTTAAAAAACACCTTTTATTGGACCTAGTGTTGCAACCAGCAGAGGCAGCACAAGAGGGCATCTCCCATCCAGCTTACCAAGTAAGCCAAGTAGTCTGCTTTATATAACCAGAGAGGGGTATTTATAACTATCACAGCATTGCCCCATTGGCATCAGTCACAGTAATCTTTCTGATAGGCCACCAGAGGAAGCGCTCCTCCTTTGGTCTGGGTAGAAATAGTTGTGGGTCATATTGAGTTTACCAAGGCTTGGCTTGTGTTAGCAAAAAGTTTGTATAAATAGTTTGAAATAGCCTTGGCTGAGGCTGTACCTTTAGGAGCCACAACAAGCAGCTGAGATTGCTGTGTTCTTTCTCAAGGTGTCCATGGAGTGTTTAAGAACAGCCGGTGCTGATGCTGACATAAAGTCCTGGCTTAAAGATAGTTCAGCTGACTCTGACTATAGTCTCTTCACTTGAGGCAGCCAAGGTCAACAAGGGAGAGTCTAGTCAGTAGCTGCTAATTAGAGTCGAATTGCCTCATCCCCCAAAGTCTTTGCTTATTTACAAGAAAATAACATCAGAAGGAGTGCTTACAATAACAATTTAGCATTAACACTAAATGGTATTGTTGTCTAGACAGGAAGTGGGCCTTGACCACAACATCTTGATAGTGCTTTCTGCTAAGTTGAATTTTGACAAGGATAAGCACATGGGGTCTAACTTTGGAAAAGCAGAGATTGCATTTTTTTAGATTTCTGGGTAGAAAATCTTTTACCCTCATTAGATATTTGGTTAGTCTAATATAGTTGCTTTTTAATTTTGTGACTTCAAGATAGTGCCCCATTTTCCTTAAATTTTTTTATTGTATTTTGTTTATTATGTGGGTGGGTGAATGGGTACTCATATGCCACGACACACATGTGCAGATCAAAGGATAGCTTGTGGGAGTCAGCTCTCTCTTTTCATCTTCTGGGTCCTGGGGCACATTTACCTTCTGAGCCATCTCGAACCTGTCACCCACTTTTCTTCAGTCTTACTACCTTGACTGTAGGTATCTATTGTGGCCCCGTCTGGGGTCTAGCAGACTGTGATGCTCAGCTCTTCATCTCACTCTTTCACCCAGAGAAGGACAAGTTCTAGAAACATCTGTCTGAATCTGTAGCCCAGATTGGTCTCAAGCACACTGCATAGCCCAGGCTGGCCTCAAACTGAACAATAATCCTCCTGTCTCAGCCTTCAGTTCAAGTGTTAAAATTATGGGTGTGAGCTACCACATGTAGTGTACCTTAAAATTTGACACACTTAAACTTTCATAAGAATATATTCAGTGAATTTTGGCATATCTAGAGGAAAGAATGTGCAGGACAGAAACTGTTTCATATGGAATGGTAGTTTTTCCAATAAGAAAATTAGTGCAGTGTAAGCATGTTGGTGATGCCAGGTCAGAAACATCCTTGAGGCTGGAACTTGATGCTTGCTAGCTAATTGGTTACTTTAGTACTTAATGAGGCTGTGCACACATTATTTAGTATGTCTTTTCTGTACTTTGTGAGCAGAAAAGAAATTCCATCCCATTGATACCCATTTCTTAATTCCCAGTTGCCTGTTTGGGTTCTGTTTTATAACTCAAATAGGATATAAATGTCAGTTTTGTTTTTTTGTATGTCTTATGAATCTTGTGATTTTACTTAGGGGCAAATAACACTTCCTGATGGTTTCTAAAAAAAAATTTTGTTCCTCAAGTTTTGTGATAAGGACAAGCCAGGTGATGCCTTGTGGACAAAGTAGTTTCTATGTAAAGGAGATGAATGTGAGCCTCCATAAGGCCAGGGACATGATCCAGGTGGAGGTGCTGGGTGCACTAAAAAGCAGATATAACAAGTGGGCTCAGTGGATAGGGCACCTGTCTTTCCCTACAAATATGTGTAGTGCCTAGTCTTGAGTGTCAGGTGTTGGATGCAGAACTGGAAGAGTGCAAACAAACTGCTTTCCTCACCTGGGACTATAAAATTCCTTTCAGAGCTGTTCAGCCACATCAGCAGCAGATGTTTGGCGAAGAGCTGCCAGAAGCTCAAGATGGAGAGCATCCTGGCCCTGCTAGAAGAAAGCGACAGCCCAGTATGTCAGAGACAATGCCGCTGTACACTCTGTGTAAGGAAGACTTAGAGAGTATGGACAAAGAGGTGAGAACACAATGCAGAACCTAGCTCCTAGAGGCTGGTGTGCACTAGCACATCACAGGTGCAACTGAGGTTCCGTGCTGTATAGATGTGGGTGTTGTGAGCCAGCTTCTGTTTTCCCAAGTTGGCTGTTAAAAGGGATTTGTAACAGTATTAGGTGATGCGTCCTTGGGTTTGGCAATAAGAACACTTTAGCCCCTACTCCCTGCACCCACCCCCAGGGTCTCATGACAGGGTCTGGAGACATTCTGAATTGTCAAGAAGATAATGGCATTTTGTGGTACAGGTACCATAAGTGCTTTTCAAGACACCCTGCTAAGGGAATAGCCCAGCCAGAAAGTTATGGCACTCAGAATGAGAAACACTAATTTAGTTTGTTTTCAATTGAACATAGATTTTAAATACATGAATATACACAAATTAAGACCAATTTCTGGGGCTGGAGAGATGGCTCAGCAGTTAAGAATACTGGTTGTTCTTGCAGAAGACCCAGGTTCGAATCCCAGCACCCACATGGCAGCTAACAACTGTCCATAACTCCAGTTTCAGGGATCCGACGGCCTTGTCTATCCTCCGTGGGCATTGCACAACAGGGATGCACTTACCTACATGCAGGCAATATACTCATACACATAAAATAAAAATAATAAATTTTTTTTTAAAAAAAGACCAATTTCTTCTTACATTTTTTTATACTATTAAATAGTTTTAGGCACGTATTTAGTTTTTTCAAATACTTAATTAGGGAAGTGATACCAGAACTCCACTGTACTTTGAATTAGAGCCTAAGTACAGTGGGAATATCCCTTCAGACCAGAACAGATCTGAATTATAAGTCAGCATTGTCTGTGTTCTAGACTCACGTTCTCGTACAAGCCCTGGCCCCTGGGTATTCCCATGTCCCTTGGCCTTATGCCTTTCTCCTCTTGGCTCTCAGGCCAGCCCTCTGATAGAAGGGTTTGCCTCCAAGGATTTTGTTATATCGTCTGTATAATGTCATTCCTCCGCAGACTGTTTGAAAGGGACCACTGTAAGAAGAGTGAGTGGTCAAGTGTGCACAAAAATTGTTCTCTCCATTGCTTTCCTGCAGCCACAGCAGGCCACCAGTCTTCCTGGCACAGTTGTGCTATGAGGATAGAAATGCTTCATTTCATTGATGATGCAGTAGAGGGCATCATCTTTCTTCCTTTGTTCCTCAAGGAAGAAAACATGATTTTCATTTATTTTTGACAACAAGGAAAAATACATTTCATCTCAGGTGATGGCTTATCTGAGCTCTCTTTGCCATTTTGAGCATTAGCTGCTTATGTTTTGTGAAAGTGTTTTCTCTAAAAAGGTTTTCTTGGCCACTGCTTCTTTGCCCCTAGGAGCAAGGCCTGCTCCACTCTGTGGTTGCCATGTTACAGTTTCCCTTTTGGCATCCTGGTCTGTCACTGAGGTTTTCCCTCACAGTTCAGTTTGTCACAACCTGGCCACAGTGTTGGTTTTTATTCACTTGATACAAATGGCCTCAAATTGTGCAAAATAGCAACTTTTATTTACTCTAGAATCTTGTTCTTTCAGAAATAAAAGACAACCTTAAACTCCACCTAACTGAGCTCCTCAGAAGCATGGTACTAAGGAGAAGACGCTGTAGCTGTGGCTTTTGCTTGTTTGGACTGTTTCTCGGTTGAAGGGAAAATGGAGGCTTGGAATTCCTGAGCACCTGCATTGCTTTGCTTATTCCTATGGGTCCTGGGCCCATGAGAAAAAGCACTGCTGCCCTCCAACAAAGATAGCAGCCAGGCTTACCCATACTTAGACAAGACAGCCTAAGGCAGATGCTTCTGCTTTCCAAGTGCCCTGAGCCTTGGGTCAGCATAGACTATCCTGTCTTCAAGAGGAGGAGGTGGTCAGGCAGCTTTACAAGATGTTTCAGGCTATTCTCACCTGTCTCCAGACATTTAAGATCTATCAGAACAGTACACATCCATTAAGTGTTGATATATCACTTCCATGCTTAGTCTAGGCCACCCCTCTTCTATATCAGTCTCTATCCCTCCCCCAGAAAGATACTGGTCACTACTCTAGGCCCACCTTGGTCCAGAAGATCTCATCTTAACTAACATATTTACAGAGACCCTATTTCCAGATGAGACCACAGTCCCAGGGATCAGAGTTGGGCTTTCTTTTAAGAATATGTTTCAGGGAAAAGGCACAATCAACGTGCTTAAACAGGACATCACAGGAACTTGGGGTTTCCTCTTTTTGCCAGAAACATATAACCCTCACCCCACGCCTGTTGGTACCAGGGGTGCTTCCTTGTGTGAATTGAAGCAGGGCTTTTGGGGGAGGGTAGAAGGTTTATTGAGACAGGATCTCCCTGTAGCCCCACCTGGCCTAGAATTTGCCATGTAGACCAGGCTGACCTCAATCTCACAGAGCCCTGTCTCCCAAGCACTGGAGTTAAAAGCATGTACCACCACACCCAGCTGAAGCAGGGCTTTTTAAACTCTTTCCACTTTCAACTTCTTTTCACCTGAGAAATTTTAACATAATACATAAAATAAGCATACAAACCAAGCATTACTGGTAGTAAATCATGAAGAAATTTATACACTAACGATTTGAGTATGTTTGTTTGTGTGGGAGGAGGGTATTCATGTATACATATGTGTACATGCATGTAGAGGACAGACAGATCAACCTAGAATGTTCCTCAGGTGTTAACCACCTTGTTTTTTGAGACAAGGTCTCTCATAAGCTTAGAACTCATTAATTAGGCTAGACTGGCTGACCAGCAAGCCCTAGGCATCCACCTCTTTCTACCTACAGAGTAGGAGCTATAAGTATATGCCACCATGCCTGGATTTTTTTGTGTGCCCTAAGGATTGAACTCAGGTCCCCGTGCTCACACAGCAAGCACTTTACCAACTGAATTGTCTCCCTAGCCCTGCTTGTATATTTTTATATAAAGAATTAAGTCTTAGGGTGGGGAGTGCTTGTGGGAGGAGTTGGAGGGAATAGAGGGAGGGATGGAGAGAGGTAAATACAGTACTCATTTATGAAATTCTCAAAAAATAAAAAAGTTAAGAGCTGGAAAAAAGAATGAAATCTTGACTGAATATTTGATATTGCAAAACATGCTTTTTCAGATTGATCATTTTATTTTGTAATCTGAGAATGCCATTTAATTAGAATACATACTATTAAATGGCAGTAATATGTTTAGGGCCATTTCATAAATTGTTGGAAATTATATATTAATCCCAAGCCAAAATTGACAATTTTTTTATGAAACTCAAGCAGCAACTCAAACAGCAATTTTTAAAGATCAAACATTATAACACAATACAACTGAAAAATACACTCATTTGACATTTGCATGTTGCAGAATGGCAATAGGAAAATATCCTTGTTTTCTGTAAACTCTTGTGTTTCTATAAGAGCAGAAAACTTTCTGTGAACACTTAAAAAGAAAAAAAAACCACTATGACTTAGAACATGCCAGTCTTGAATCTGAGCTGAGGTATTTCAGGCAGCATTTGTTGGTGTTGTGTGGAATGGCAGGGTGCAAAATTTTTTGGCTCACGTTGTGTGTTTGTAACTGTGCTGGTTAGTTTTAACTGCCAACCTGATACAACCCAGAATCACCTGGGGAAAGAGTCTTAATGAGGAATATTCTAGATCAGGTTGGCCTGTGGGCATGTCTGTGGGGAATTATCTTGGTTGTTGAGGTGGGAAGACCTAACACTGAATATGGACAACACCAACACCATGTCCTGAGGTGGGCCTTGAACTATGTAAGAGTGAAGAAAGCCAGCTGATCATGGCAGCAAGCAGGCAGACAGCATGGGTGCATTCATTCTCTCTGCTGTTGACTGTGATAGGATGTGACTTGCTGCTTAAGTTCCCGCTGCCTTGACTTCCCCCTTAATAATAGACTGTGACCTAGAATTGCAAGCCAAATTTAATGCTTTTCTTTCCCTAAGTTACTTCTAAAGAGGGTGTTTTATCACTGTAGCACAAATGAAGCGAGAATAGAAATTGGTACCAGGGAAGTAGGGTTGTTGTTATGATGGCCCTGACCATGTGACTTTTTATGCTTTTGGACTATTTTGTTGGAGAAATGTGGAAGATTTTGGAATGTTGGTCCAGGAAAGCTGTTGAGTGCTCCGAGCTTATTCGGCCATTTCTACTGAGAGGCTGGAAGGCAAGAATGCTGAGTAATGAAGACAGTGGCTTTCTCCTTAACTGGGATAGGGGCTGTTCCTGCATATTTTGGCTAAGAATCTGTGTGTACTTATTCATACTTATGGGACTGAAGAAGGAGTTGTCAAAGAGCTCAGCACCACTGAGGTGAAGCGTTTTTGCTTCATTGTGACTGACAGTAGTCTGCGTTGGCTGAGAATCTATGTATGAGATATAGCTGGAGCTGAACAATTGACTGATCAGCCCCACTGAGGTGAAACCGTCTGTGCTTCATTAGAACAATGGGAGCATGTTTCCACGGGGTCGAAACACAGAAGCTGCCAGGGGAACATCTTGAGCTTCCAGCAGAACTTGGCTATCAGCATTGTCCACATGGTACTAGTTCTGAAGACATGAAGGATACAAGATTGAAGGGGGTTCATAGAGAGTTGCTGAGTTGCTGAGGCCTGGCCCTTGTGGCAGGGTCAAAGTCCCTGCAGAGAGGTCCTGAGACACCATCGGTGGAACCAACATAAGCCTGAGAGGAGAGCTATGTATACTCCCCATGGGAGAGCTAAAGGTGGGGGCCGCCTAAGCCCTTTGGTCCTCTGAAGATAGAGAGCCCCAGTACCTGTCCATTGACTTCTATTTCAGTATTTGTTGGAAATACTCTTAAAAAATCTGACCTTATATGGTGAACTGGGGTGCAAGACCAAGCTACCATCCAGGATTATTGGCTGCTTTTTTCCTGCCTTCTCACCTGGATTCACCTAGACTATGTAGCAGACAGGCTCTTGGATCTTGAGTCTGCTATTCCATATCCTTTTTGGAAGTTTTAGAGAATAGTGACTGTGGTTGGTTGAACAAGGCACAGACCCATTGCTGTCTCCCGTAAAGCATGGGGATTCAACTTTGCCAACTCCGCAATGCCAACCAGCACATCACCAGTCTCATTGTTGGGGCCCTGCACCTCCCTTGTGCTGCCAGGCCTTCTGATGATGACCCCACCATATTTTCCATCCCTGCTCAGCACTGGCTAGGGGGAAAGGAGACTTGGAAATGCACACTACTCCCCACAGTCCCCTTGTCATCTCATTTCCAGCTAGATTTCCAGAGGTTTGATGACCCCTTACCCCAAGCGCCAGTGCTTAATGGAGTATCTATTATAGAGAAGGCCAGTCCTCTCCGAAGTACAGTTCTAACAACACCATTCTCTGCCAAGAAATTACAAAATATTCCCCCATTGCCTAGAAAGATTGGAGACTGGGGTGAGCCAAGAAAGGTACAGCAGAAGTGTGGCAGGTTAGTGAAAATTAACATTGTGCTTTGTTAGCTGCTTTGTAACTCTATGTATATTTCTGAATATATGTAGAAGCCAAAGAATCTTAACAACCTAATAGGATACTAGCCTGGAGAGGATTATAGGTCCACTTACAGGCTGGTTTTCTCTACAGGACCTGTGTGGGCTTGGAGGGCACTGACATGGGCTGCCCTGTTACTGGTAGCACTGTGTAACTGGTTTAACTAGACTGCCCAGCTTTATCACTGACAAATTACCCCAGTGTCAGTAACATTTGTTCTGCGTGGTGCAGAGTGATCTATGATAGCCATACTTTGGGTTTCAAGTAAGTGAATTTATTAAGTATACAGCAAGCAAAAGTCAAAGAATAAGTAGCAGATAGAGCACAGCAGCAGTAGACAACATCATCAAATCAGATACAACATTAGCAGAGGTGGCTGCAGTTGCCCAACCAAGAGCAAACAAGGTAACATCACCAAATCAAGGGCTAATAAACAGCAGAAGTCAACTGGGGAAGCCCCTTGAGTCAGCCAGCTAGAGTTCCAGATCAAGAGGCCCAGGTGGAGGAGCACATCCCCCACATGAGACTTCCAAGTAAAAGAACAAACAGCAGGTAGAGAACATGAACAAACTCGTTCTTATAATCTCCATCAGAAATGACTAAAGTTGAGGCAGGAGTTGCCAGATGAGCTTCTCTCCATGAATGATCTTCCTGTGAGTGAGCTTCCAGGTTCCCATTCCCCCGTATGCATTTTTATATGATGGAATAAATAATAGTCATTTTGGGAAATGACTTGTCTTCTAGCTGTTCTCAAGGACACAGTGTTTTTACTCTTGAGCTGTTTTGGTGTTCTCTTTCCTCCCTGCCAGAGTTGGGGGTGGGTCAGCCCATCCTTGAAAAGGGTTCTTGGAGGACACTTTGATATTAAACATGCTTGAGTCTGAATCAGCTTTTCAGTGAACTCAGACAGCACAGGGCAGTTTACCAATGTAATATACATTGCACTGTTCAAAACAATTATGGCAAAGGGACTTCTCAGTTTTTTAGAACATGAATTTGATGTTAAGTGTTTATCAGAGCTGTGAATCTGACCGACTTGTAGGTAGAGACAACCTTAGTCTGTCCAGTCCATAGTCAGAATGACTCTCTGGCTCAGGTTTATTCAGTGTCGTTTGCCAGACAGAAGCTGTCACCTGCCAGCAGGATGCTAGGGGAGAGAGAACAGTCCAGGTGTAGCTGTAGGGACTCAGCCTCCCGGGACCATATATTTCTGGAGAAGAGGATGAAGCTAATTACATTCTTCATATGAGCAGAACTGAGCCATGGGAGTGGGCACCAGCAGTTCCAACTCCTATAGTTCTTAACATGCTACCAGCAACCTTGACTACCCTCATTCATGGCTAACAATTGGGGCTAAGTAGACCTGTGCGCCCCAACCCTAGCCAAATAGTTTAGGGAGACCCGTAGAGCCACAGGAGACTCCCATTCCCACCCTTCTACCCCCAAAGACCCTACATGACAGTCCTGTGTACCCAGTAGCTTCCCTCATAGGCAGTCAGAGGGAGGACCCATTGCCCAGGCACTGGCTTTTCTCCTCTAGCTCCCGCAGTACATGCAGCAAGACATCTTGGGAACAGCTTCCCCATTACACTAAGTTATATCAAGTTTCATATGAAGGCCATTGCACTCTCTGGACTGTGGGTCATGGTTGCGCCATCCTTCACAAAAGCTGTGAATTTGAAAGAAAAAGCAAAAGAAAGATTCCACATGCCTGTGTGTCTATATGAGCATCAGGATGTATAGTGCCTTGTTACTTCATGATGTCCTAGAAGCCAGGCTTGAAGCAGGTATGCCATGTACTCCCATGCCCAGGGGCACTTCTGCTTCTCTGAGCTGCCAGAATACACCTCATGGGTGCTGGTAAACTGTCTCCCCTGTCTGTAGTGATGAATGCAGTCATATCTGTCCTGTGACTCACTTCCTGATCTTTTAACTGTTGAAAGTCATTGGTATATGTAGTACCACACCTAATCTTTCCTGGGTGAATGGAAAGAGAACAGAGGACCCTGCTAGGATACAATAGTGGGCCATTTGTCTTCTCTGTCTGTTCATGGCATAACTCCACTACCTAATTTATGAAGCCAGGACATGTATTCTGTCTCGATTTATCAGCAGGTTTTCTTTCCATTAAATTTCAGGAACTGGAGATCTGGTGGCTCAGCTAATTTTACATATGTCCTCTCTACCTCAGTACTGTCCAGATTCTAGTAACTAGGCGCCCTGGGACACCTGGTGTCAGCTGTGTGCTTGAAGGCAGAGTGGTTGTGATGTGGCCCAGCAGAGGGAGCTCTGCAGGCAGGCAATGTCCACAGTCCATGCAGTGAGGGTCCTCCACTCCACACTCACCCCACCCTTCTTGGCACTGCTACAGAGTCATTGTTAACATGGTTGAGAAGCACATCTGGCCTGTTCCTTTTGGACCTAACACCCTGCTCTATAGGCAGCACATGAACCACCCCCACCCCTACCCCCAGTGCCCTTGACAGGCTCAGAGGTTCTCTAAGAAAACCTTCGGATCTCTGGCTTTTTTTAAAGAATTGTGAAAGTATAAATAAATCTAATAAGGATTATCTGTGTTTGCTTTTGTCCTGTACAGACAGAGCTTCTGTCAAGGGAAGGCAGCACCAATGCAGGTGTCCTTAGAAGCAGGCAGGTACCAATGCAGGTAGGTAGTGTGGGTGAGCAGCGTGCAGGTAGGCATTAATGCAAGTACATGCAGGACCAGCATCTCTGGTCAGGCTACCCTCAGGAGTTATAGCTTCATGTGCATGACTGCAGCTGTTATCCACTCTAGTCCCACCGCATAGACTTGTTGTGGTGCTGGGATCAAATGCTAGGCATATGCTCTACCACTGAGCCACACACAGCCAAAGATTGTGTGTCTTATTGTTTGTACGTTTGGGTTTTTTTTTTAATTGAGGTGGGGGCATGGAGCAGGACATACACATAGAGGTGAGAACAACTCACAAGAACCAGTTCTCTCCTTCCATGTGGGTCTCAGGGATGGAACTGAGGCCATGAGGCTTAACAGCAAACGCCTTTACCTGCTGTGCCATCTTGCTGGCCCTGGAGGTTTTGTTTCTATGGAATGTTTGTACACTTGTTTAGGATCCAGACAAGCTACACAGCTTTAAGGGGTTTATGTTAGATTCGTGTTTATATGAATTCAAGGTGACTGAAGTGGAAACTCTGAGGCATGTTTATATTGCTGGTTAATTCAAGGTCTGTTTGGTGTGAGCTAACTTAAGGTAGTAACTGTTGAGTGCTATGGAGGCCACAAAACCTGCAGGCTGTTGTCATCTCTAGTTTCACTCTAGGCACCCCACAACTCTGGAGAACCTGGCAGTGGCATGCTCCATAGGATCTGTTGCATCACCACATTTTCCCATTGGTGTTTCACAGCTGTGCTTAGTGTGCGGTCGGGACTGCTCAAGAAATGTCTGCACATAATTGCTTTTCCCACCCCTACTGAGTGCCCTGTTCGCGTGCAGGTTGCATAAGACATGTCCTTTGCTGGAGGCAGATAGTCTCTGGCAGTTATTACTTTCTGAGTAAAATAGGCACCTTTCTGTTGGTCACCAGGTGTTGAGATGAGGCAGGTTTGCTTCTGAAGCTGTGAAGGACCCTGAGGGCAGAGCAAGGACTCAGATCCTGTCATAGCAGGGTTACTGTTAGTGTGCACTTGGATCATTAATAGTGCCTTCATGATTCTTTGCACCAACTAGTCTTAATGACTGATGTAGTTTTCTGTGCTGTCACTTTTTAAGAAAACATTATTCCCTGGCTTCTTAGGACACTGTGTGTGGTCCTCTTATTCGCACAAGTATGGGGAGTGATAGGGCAAGCTCCTTCTGCTGCTGCTGTGCTTGGGACTGCAAATTTGCACTGGGAGGTGGGGGAGACATGTCATCCCATATCAGGAACATGGAGGAAAGGCAGAGTGAAGCAAAGCTGAAGGAGGGTGGGCACTTGGTTCAGGCCAAAGCAGCTAAAAGAGCAGGTACATCTGCTGCCATCTCTTCAGCTTTGCTGCTGCCACAGTAAAGATGTGTGCTGTGGCACTTGATAGTGTGTTCATTTTGATGTCCCTGCAAATCTTGAAAATACCTTATTACTCTTTTCTGAAGACTGTTAACCTCAAAGGACGGGAGGGATCTCCAGTTCATATAAAATACTGCTGAAGTGATTAGCATGTCTATGTGCAGAGCTGAGCAGGAGTCTGACCAAGACTTTATGGTAATAAAAGAGATTGGATGAAAAATAAAGGCAGAGATGCCAAGATTTTTATTTGCCCATCAAGCATCTGCTGGCCCCAGGGAGATGTCAGTGCTTTCAGCAAAACTGGCCCCAAAGTCGCTGATAACAAAGTTTTTATGGTGAGATGAGTGGGGCTTAGCTACCATATACAAGAAAATTCCACACTTGGATTATAAATGTATAGTAATCTACTCTAAAAATTAACTGTCTCATAAGTAAAATTTGTTTTATAGGGCTAAATAACCATTAGTCCTAAATAATCAAAGACCAAGTGATGATATACCTAAAAAACAGATTTGGTAAGTGAAAGGAAAACATTTCATATTAGAGGGAAATGGGGCTTCCCAGCTAATCAGTGTGAAGCAAGCTCATGACAGCCACAAAGTCTGGACACAATAAATAGAAGGCTGTGGTGGCAAGCAAGTAGAGGAAGTCTACATGCAGAGCAGCAAGCATGGGTGTGGGGTCTCTCGGTATGTGCTCCCTGCCTTGGGGGCAACACATAAAGCCACCGAGCTCAAGGAAGAGGCTATAGGCATGGAAGAGTGCTGTTTTCTGGTTGGTGGTTGGGTTTTGTGATGCAGCTATAAGGCCAGACCCTGTCACCAAGCCAGCACAGCTTTCACATTCTGTGGCACCTAAACCTAAGAGGAAAGCTCATCCGGCCACAAGGAACCCAAGGAGGTGTGTGGTCTGAAGGGTGAAAACTTGGGCTACCATCACTCATGGCTTAACTCTTTGCCAAGAGCAACCCCAGTCCCTCAGAACCATATCTGCTGCCACCCACTGCAGAGTGGGGATGGTAGGTAAAACTTTGAAGGAGACCTGGAAAGGGAATCTTGTCCTTTGCTAGTTATGAGCCCATGCAGGTCTCAGGGTCACTGAAGAGCCCAGACATGAGCCAGTAGCCGTGAGAACTGACCCAGGAAAAAAGTCATCTGAGCACCCTGGGGCTTGAGACAGACCATAACATTTCAGAGGCTCTCAGACTCCTTTTGGAGCCCTGTCTGCAGAAGGCAACTTACGGTTCATTTGCAAAGTCATGGCTCTTTGTGAAAAGCAGAACCATGACAGAAGATCAAGCAGGAACTTTAGTATAGCTTGTGTCGCCACATTGACTGAAAGATGAACTGTCTCGGAGCGATAAAAGAAATAGAAAAAACGGAAGAACCAGTTTCAGAAATGACAACTATAGTAAGTATGGCAAAGCCCCTGAAATCCACCAAAGGAGTCAGAGTAGACAAGACTGATTGGGGAGTAGTGATACAGGGAACAGTGAAAGAAAAGGTTGGGGGCTGCAGGGACCCCTGGATGGTGTCAACAGTCTGTTAAGTCCTGAAGGAGAGTGGTTTGGAGCAGGAAAAAATTCTCAAAGAAATAATAGCTGGGAATATCTAAACTGTGATGAGTCAGACTGCAGCTTCTACTAGTGCAGATTGGCCTGACCAGATTTAGGGTTCGATGAAATGGATCCATACTGTGTCAACCTCAAGTCCTGGTCTTTTCTGATGCTTTCTGTTGGGGTCAGGGGAGACCACGTAAAGGGATGTTTGCTCAAGCCTGGAAGAGATGGATAAGGAGCCCCAAGTGAGAGAAATGCAAAGGTGGCTGTGCAGTTCTGTGATTTTTGGTCTGTAGGCTGTACTGAGAAAAGGGCTGGAAATTTTCATAAGAATTTATTTGACCCCTGGAGTCTCAAATATCAAGTAAATTTTGTGCACAATTTAAGTATTTAGCAAGGTTTAAATGCTTGTTTCCATAGTGGCTGAAATTTTTGTGTTATCTCCAGCCTTTGTTGGTTAGCTATATTACTTTTCTGTTTGGGGCAAGACTGTGAACTCAAAGCCTACCCCCAGTGGCATACTTCCTACAGCTAGGCCACACCTCCTGAAGATTCGAAGACCCTCCCCAAACAGCACCATCATCTGATCAAGTGTTCAGTACCTAAGCCTAGGAGGAACACTCATTCAGAACACCACATTAGCCATGCCATCTTTCTGCATTGCACTTGTATCTTGTGCTTAGAACAGAGGTAGCCCGTGTCTTCTGTTCCATGACCCCATCTATTGTACACTGTCTTGGGCAGAGTATATTTGCCCAACTGATGAAACCAGGAAACTTCAGATTGCAGGCTTCCCAAAGTGATGTTTAGCGATAAAAATCAGTATTAGAGAGTTCTGTATCTCCTGTGATTTCATCTTTTTGTTTTAAGAAGGAGGTGCACTACCATCATTGTCATGAGAGTTCCATTTAGCATCAGTGAATAGCAAGTATTACCTTTTTTTAAAAGCTCAGGTAGATACCTTTTCATACCTGAAAAGATTATTTTAATGTTGCAATCATAGAGACACATCTTATTTCCCTGCTTACCTGTTTCTGTAACTGTGTCCTGAACAGCTGTGTTATGGAAAGGCCAGTCAGCAAAAGGAGGAAGGCGTGGACCTCCACAGGCTGTGATGTGGAAACACAAGCTGAGAAGAACAGAGCTACCTGGAGCCGTGTGCCAGGCTTGTTTCCTGGTGGACAAGGGTCTGCTTGCTGAATGGCTACCTACTAGCCCATTTCTCTCTTCCTAAAGACTTGCTCCCTCTAGTTAATGAACCCAAGAGTGTATGATGAATGCTTGATAGGTGGTAAGAACTGAATGTGAGTTATTTTACTCACGCTGTATAAGAATTATCTACTGATTGCCTGTGCGTGGCACCATAACCTAAAATGGCAACATCGTTTAGAGCGGGATACTTATTTTACTGAATTCAGCGTTCATCATCTAGTAAGTTCTAAGCACTTGCTGAAGCATCAGACTTGTTCCCATTCTCTTTATAATAGTAATTAATTGCCTTACGACCTTTGGGCTAAGATGGTATTTAATAGTAATTCATGCTAGATTGGAATCTGTCTGGGAAACTGAAGGGATAGACCCTACTGTCACCATACACTGTTTACACATCTGAGGATTAGGTCCAAAACATAGAACATACATGTGCAGGTAGTGTTTGAGAATATTCTGTTATTAAACAGCAGTCCCTCTGTCAATTTATGACCCAATCTTAGAGAATTCTGGTTAATCAAAATCCTTAATATATTCCTCTTGTAAACGGTTTACTCAATAGAGGTCATTGAGCCCCTTGGTAACAACGGAGCACAGATAGTGTTCTTTGTAACTTAAAACCTCCTTCATAGATCAGATGTTTATGCTTTGTTCTGATTTTTTTTTTTTAAGTTTGGGAGAGTAATCATGTCTCTCTGGATCTTTGTTTACTTCCTGAAAGTCTTGGTCACTGGAGTTTGAGTGAATTAAGGATTTATTGTGTGTTAAAAATCTGTATGCAAGAAAGATTATGGTTATCTTTTGTTTTCATCTCCCCAGTGTAAAGAACTTTCTCAGGGTTTTCGAGTGTGTAATTTGCATAAGTCATTTTCAGAACATATGTGCTGCCTACAGCCAGCATCTGCACGACAGTTTTAAATCCTCTCAAGCAGTTTCAGAACACCTCAAGTTTGTTTTCCAAGTTTGGGGTTTTTTCACATGTCATTAAAGTTACTCTTTGGCCTTCAACGTGTTTTCTGTTCATAAAAATAGCTTCTCAGTTGACATTATTCCACTTAAAATACATTCCATCACTCCATTAGTTTTCTGTGCTGCATAACAAGTGCTGCAAACTCAGAAGCTTAAAACAACCTCCATCTTTCCTTTTGTCAGGTTGCCAGGGTCAGGAACTGAGTGCAGGGAGTAGGGTCTTCTGCTGGGTCTTGGTGTTCCGGATCTCAGAGCTTAGGTTCATTGAGGAGCTTGACAGTCCTCCCAACTCACTGGTGGGTACAAGTTGACTTCCTGCTGCTCTAGGCTAGGACTGGGAACCTGAGGTCATGGGCTGCCACCCTCTCCTTGGTGAGTCCACTGTGCTGTTTCCACCACAGCAGCTAGACATCAGCAAGAAAGTCTTTTAGTTGACTAAAACAGAACTTTATGTGATAAAGTCCATTCCAAGAGTGACAGATGAACTCACCTCTGCTGCTTTCTCCTTTGGAGGTTCCTTCTCTCTTGATTGAGCACTTGGCTTCCAACTGTCCTTCAGGTACTCAACACCAAGGCATTTCAGTAGCATCCTGTATATAAAATACAAGGCTTTGTCAGCCAAGAGAAAATCAACTTTAGTTACAAAGAGGAACGACATATATTATTTGGGTCTTGCAAATGCTCTGAGGTTTTATGAGGTCATGGCTATTTGTGTAGCTTAACCATAGTGGGCTAGTCATGAGATACTAGGAACTGTGATTAGTGTACAGAAGATGAACTGCCATGTAGAGGAGTGAGGACACAGTCTCAGGAAGCAACATGGTGGCCCATATCATGAGGTCAGCATGTGCCAGCAGTGTCCTGGTTCAGAGAAGTAAGCTGGAAACCCTGCAGTTCTGTGGGTTCTCCTCCTAATCCATTGCAACATCGTTGGAAAACTTCCAGAGAAGGTCAACTTAATACATCTGTAAATCTGTTTAGTTACGCTATCAGGAAATGACCACAGTGTTCATTCTTTGGGACAAGGAAATGAATCTATTTATGTAGATTCTAAATAAGTTGATATGGGTTTAGGATTAGTGGATATTTGCTCCTTAGAGTTCATGTGATCTGATCAGTCATGTGAACAGTGGCGCTTTTAAGGCAGTCCTGGCCCTGTTGTCTGGCAAAGCTCGTGTGGAACCATTCCCTGGCAAGTTCTGCACATTCGCCCCCCTCTGGTTTCTGCACCAGGCCAGGAAGAAGCTGAATGTTTGTCTGTCAGGGTCTCTTGCATGGCCCTTTTATGACAGGGAGGAAAGAAGAGCCACACTGGACCCTGGGCTTCTCTTTCCTGTCCCTTGTGTTCCAGTGTCAGTATCTATCTACCTTCTTCTTTCCACCACTCCTTCCCTATTCCCTCAGCCTCTCATGATGTTGCCATCATGTGGTAAAGATTTTAGGACTTAATTGAGTATATATTGAAATTTTTTTCGCACTTCACATACTTGCTTTTAATTTTTTCTTAACATTTAGAACAATTTTTCATAGCACCTTTTAAAGTAAAGTTTATTACAGTTAAACTAGTTTTCAAAAAGTAGTTGATTCTTTTGAAAGATCCACATCATTCCCAAACAGAAACTTCTGGGTCCAGCATAAGGAGTAGCAGATAGAAGCTTGATTAAGACAAGGCCAGGCTCCATGGTTGCCTGCAGTTTCAGTTTAACTGTTAACATGCTCCTCTGGATCTACCAGCTAGCCAGCAGAGTTACTACATGCTAGTAGGATCAGCTGTCTATATACCACACAGAAGCGCTGACAAGAGCGTTTGAAATGCTTTCCATTTGGTATATAGATGCAGTTGACCAAACAGAGGGCCCCTCATGATCCCTAGGTGGCTCCAAATGTTCTGCCTGTTACAGAGACCTTGTGGCTGTATGCCTTGTCCAAGATGCCCCCTGGCCTACCAGAACTATACTCCTGGTGAAAGGTCACCCCAAGGCAGCAGCTCATCAGAACAACCCTCTACCTTGTGTATTTTCTTTGCCCATCTCTGCAAGGTAGGAGACAGAACTAAGAGCTTAAGTTCTGGGGCCAGAATGCCAAGGCCGGGTGCTAGCTCTACCCTCACCTTCTCTGTGCAGAGCTGGCTTCCACCTATACTGAGGGTACCAAAACCCCTGTTCCCTGGTGCTGAGGCATGGGATAGCTCTGTATAATCGTAGGCCCAAGTGAGGTTCACAAAATGCCAGCCTGTTACCTGTCTTCTCTTTGCCTTGTGCTTCCTCATTTCTCTGCCACTGACACCTGACTTCCCTCTGCCTACCCTCAGGTCTCATCATCTGGAATCCCAGGCAGGCCTGTCCCTCCGTACCATCCATCACATTGTTCCAACATCATCCTCATGTCATGTTCCAAACTTGCGATAGATGGGAAAGAGAGAGAGAAAACAGTCAGCTAGGCAGCCACCTTGCAATACAACTGCACCCCAGACTCCAGCACCTAAGGTCCACTTGCTCCTCAGAAGTATGCTTGGGCTATGGGGTCTCACTGATCCAGAGAATGCCAAGTGAATGCCCAGGTGCTCACAGAAAATTCATCAGCACAGTGCACGAGAACTTAAGCCTGTGAATGGAAACCATCGTTACTTCCTCAGTCTCATGAATGCAAGCATGATGGGAGTCTCAGTACACTCTGTTGTTCTTCTGCTGTCATTTATACACTGGCTTAGTTTCAAACCCCAGCATTCAAGTAGAAAGTGGAACTAAACATTGGGCACCCTGCAGAGTGGCACTGAGCATGCCCTTGTGTGAGGATGATGAGAAACTATTGCTGTCCTTCCCAGGGGAGTGTGGGTCCCATGGCTCCTACAGAAAGCTAACTTGCAAGCCCATTGACTCTTGGCCTTTTGTCAGGTTGATGACATCCTTGGAGAAGGCAGCGATGACAGTGACAGCGAGAAGAAGAAGACAGAAGACCAAGACAATGAACAGGAAAGAGTGCCAAAGCCCAGGAAGCCCAGGGTCCCAGGGATCCGAAGGGAACAGCCACTAGGGTCATCATCCAGTGAGAGGAGTGCTTCTGGCATGCGTGGGCCCAGGTGAGGTGGGCCAGGGGAGAAAGGATGATCAAAAGCCTAGACAATGGAAGGATGTTTGAGAGGATCCCAGGGGAAGACAAACAGCAGGTGGTCCCAGGCCTGCTCACTGGGTATGCCAGACGTTATGTGGCATCACTATTATCAGGGTCTGCATTTCACTGTGGATGTTATGTTGGTGAAAGTGAGAGAAGGATACCTTGCCTCTTGATTCCTCGGAGCACTGTCATATCCCCAGACCATTGTGTTCATAGGAACCTAGTTTTAACCCTGAGGGGTCTGGTTATCCGTGTGCTGCTGATGAAGGGTGGTACCTGTGCAAGTGGGGAATGGCCTGAGGCATACCCTTGCTGTCTGTAGAGACATGTTCCTTATTTATGCCTCAGCAGCCCACCCTTGCACTTCTTCCTGGCTCTCAGATGCTGACCTGAGATACTGAACCTGCACAGCATCTGCCTTTGCCGGTGGATATGTGGTTGGCTCTGATTGAGCTTTTGGAGACCTTGTCCTGGGGTGTTGCCTTGCCCTACCTTTTCCCATGCACAGATATAAGCACAGGTAAGATCCTGCCATCAGGGACTTATCCCATCCCAAGTGTTAGGGGTCACTATGATGCCGAGTTCTCAACCCAGAAACTGGTGGCTTATCACTAGTGTGGAGACAGATGGTTGAAAAATACTCATGCAGCTCCATCTGCTGCTGTCAGAAGTGTATGTGGCTCCTCTTCAAGTGTTTGGGAGCCACGTGCTCTGTCACCCCACCTCTTAATGACTGGCCAGTGCTTTTTCACTTGACAAAATGATCTCATCTCTGCTGTATTTTTCTTCTAGCTTGTCATCTGTGTTTGTGCCTCGCTGGTACTCTACCACACCGCTGTTAACATAGCCTTTTGTATATCTATATAACTGGGTTTCCTAGCCTCAGAATCTTCAGTAACCCATGTGTCCATCACATACTTTAGGTCTTGACTTTTTTTTACATATTTCTTAGTAAATTAAGATTTGTCTGTTTTAGTAAAATAAGGAAAGGGACTTAATGTTTTCTAAATGTCAGCTAATAGTCCTGTCACAGTTTATTAAATAATGCCCTCCACTAATTTGAAATTACATCTCTGGGTATATCCTGGGCTTTCTATTTTGTTCTGTTGATCTCTGTTAGCTGCTGTCAAATAATGATAGGGAAGTATATCCTAAATAAGTTTATTTTCCTTTAAAATTTTGTTTTATCTGTTTTACATGTGAAATGTTATAAAATCTAAGAAGCACTAAAAGGTAAACATAACAGATAACCAGCCCCCATGGTTCTTTCAGAGAACCCTGCCCTGCCATGGCTGGCCCACATTCTGGCTACTTTGTTGTTTTTTTACTGTAGAAGAGAAAAGCGGTACCTTAACCCTTTCCTTCCCTCAGACATGCCAGTGTAATTGTCGGGTTTAGATGGTAGGATTGTGAGGTATTCATTATGAGTTAAATCACTTCATTGAATCTAGAAAGACCACCATGGTTATGTTTCCTTCATAAACATCCTTTTGTCTTACCTTGATTTGATAATGATCTCGTTGTTTATTTGCTGGGTATTCTTCCTGCCTGCCTGCCCCTGAGCCCCCTGCCAAAGCCACTGCTGCAAACTGGCTCCCTCTCTGCTGCTGTCCTATTTTTCTGGTCTGCTCCCCATTCCCTTTGTTTTGCTGGAATTCGTCTTCTAGGAGATCCTGAGAATTATGTATGGGAGATAGAAGCCAGTGTTCAGACCCCTTTGAAAAGCCCTGCAGGGCAGAGGGAACCTGAGTGTAAGGTTGCATGTCATCTTTGTCCTGTCATGTCTCATGGTGTGTAGGCTGCAGAGCTCAGGCAGAGCCCTTCCACTTCTTTGCCTCAGCTGCCTTGCTTGTCCTCTCAGGACCTTGGATCTTGTCTTATCGTTGGTGTGTCCAGTATGTAGGTGCCACCGCTCAAGAATATGCCGACCATACCACCCCATATCTGTGCAGACAACTCATTCAAGAGAAAGCACTGGTCTCTGCACAGCTTGGCAGGGCCTCGGTTTACAAAAAAATGCAGACAAGTTAGCATCCTGAGGGTCTCATTTAGAACCTGGTTTCTGGTACCTTCTCCCACCCACTGTATGATATGGGAGCAGTGCTCACCCTCCTAGTGTTGTGAGAAATTAAATGAAAGTGACAACAGTGTTTATCGAGCCAGTCCACTCCCCTCTAGCCTAGCCCTTAGACTACTCTGTGTTGAAAGGCAATAGTCATGCAGTCTAGTTATACCAGCACCAAGTGGAGATGGTGCCGGATAGTCCTTATTCCGTAATAAGAATGACTCAATGAATGGGTTCATAGGTTAGGGTTAGCAGGCATTGGAGTTTGCATTCAGCAGTCAGAAGGCAGTACCTTGCAGTCTCATTGAAATGGTGCCAAATTGTGTTGAGTTAGAAGAGATCTGTAGCTTCTGTACTGGGTCATGACAAACCTCCATCTTTCCATATGAATTATATGGTGCTTTGGTAGATGTGCCTTCATTTCTAGGTAGACAGTGGGGTCTATAGGGAAGCTTGGGACAGGTCTAGGGGAGGAAGGAAGGAGTAGAGCTCTTAGGACTGGATTCCACACTCCACCCAAGAGTCTCAAGGGTAGAGGGGAATACGAGCTGTGTGCTGCTAACATAGACTCTCTGCTGTCAACATACTTTGGCTGTTGAGTCTTAACCTTTTATTGTTTTCTTTATTAATCAAAAAGTAAAGAAACTGAAGTGTTTCTGTAAGGCTAACTGGGGTGTTGCTCTTGCTACTTATCCTCCCCATTGCTAACATGCAGACTGTGGCTGCCACTTCTAGGTAAAGAGGTCAAATCCCTACTGTATTATTAGAGAAGAATCCCTGCACTGGGGAAGTGAGATCTGCTCTCAGGCTGAAGGAGACCACTTGACATGTCCAGAGGGAATGAAGGTTGCCAGGTGTTTCTAAATTCCAACTGGGGGAGGTGTATAATCAACACCTTACCCCACCCCCCCTTGGTCCCAATGACAAATCAAGGTATTTCGCTAAACTGCAGTCTGGGAAACCAGTGAATTTATTGGGCTTATTTAACAGAGCAGTGGGTAAGAGCTTACTTACAGGAGTGGCCCGAAGGCCACATTGTAAAGTCTTCACCCAAGCATGGGTGGTGGCTTCCCCATAGCTGGCATAAAATGAAGGGAGAGCTTACCCTAGGCTTCCCTAACCTATATACCCTTAGCCCCTCCCCTAGGCCACATGCATCTAAGGCCAACTGGTTGATTGGGAGGTAGGTGTGACTGACAGTCCTGTGACTCTCCCTGCCCCTCCTTCCTTGCAGGGCTGACCGTTAACAAGCCTACCTGTGGTGATCCTAGGCAAGCAGGCACAGCTGTTCCTGGGAAGACTGGGTCAGTCTGTCGGAGAACAGTCCATACAACAGCAGGTTTCTGGTCCCAGCTCTGCTTTTTGCTCATTGGACTTTTGTGCACATCTCTGCCTGCTCCATGTCTGCTCTGTTTCTCCATTTCAGCACTAGCAATGAGAAAGCAAGTTGGCTGCCAGCCTAGAAATTGTGCCAGGGTCAGCGTGAGTCCTCTAAGCAAAACCACTTGGTTTGGCCAGAGGGGTTTGGGTGCAGAATGCTGGGGCGTTGAAGATAAGTGATGTGATATATGTGCATGTAGATTTCTGGGGAACGGCCTGTCCATTCTTTCTCCTCAGGTGAAGAGGAACGCTGTTGCTGTAATTACTGTTTTATGGTTTTGACTCAGGTGATTTTAGAACTCGAGAGCAGAAAGCAAAGTGGCCCATAGGCTGGAGGAGTGCCTGCTGGTTTTTGCAAATATACATGCATCTCGTACCCTTCTCAAATTCGTTCCGCACCCCTAAGACCCACAAGGCATCCATAGATACAAGTTACCATGGCCTGTCATGTCATCATGCACGTGCTGTCCCTGATAGCTATGACATCCAGCAGAGGCAGCTCAGCCTCTAATGGTAGGAAGGTGGCACCATGCACTCTGGATGTGTCTTGCTCCCATCAGCTGTAGCTTTGTGCCTTAGACTTGGAGGTCTCTCTTTCTCTGCCAGGTTTCTTAATAATTCTGTCTCCATGTATGACAAGGCATTGCAACTGAGGTGCAAGTTTGGTTTGTCATGCAGTACTCTGCTTGGCAGCACATCCTGTCAGGTTCACAAACCAAGCTGTTCTGCAGAATCTTACCACCACTTGAACTTGAAAATGACTAACAGAAGGCAGGGGGCTGTATTTTGTATTTGTCTACCGAGAAGTGATTCATACTCCTCTCATAGCAGCACATAGCACTTTCATTCTCTGGGCACATGCCTTAGATGAAAGATCAGGCACAGACTTGAAAAGTGTCTGCCCAGTGGAGTTACTCAGGATGTGTATAGTGCCACCCAGATACAGTGTGACCATACAGGCACAGCGTGGGCTCATAGGCATGGTCTTTCACAGCCAGCTTAACTCCTAGCAAAAGCTTTTCTTACAGTTGGAGCAGTGGGTGCCTAGCATGGTCAGCAATTGTCATCTTTAAAATACAGTATGACTCTTCCTAGAGTTAATAGAAAAGTGAAAGCAACACTATTTAATTAACTTCCAAAACCCAGAGCAGTTTTGCTAGTGTATGTAACTCTCAAGTGAGAAATACTTTATTGAAGTCTTTATTGAAGTGTTTATTGAGCGTCTGTCCTTGACCTAGATGGCACTGGATCCTGTTCTTAGTTGGTCTCAATGTTGCTTCTAACCCTTTGGTTCCCCCAGTACCCTACACCTACTGTTGTGGAGGACCTGGGCTGCCAGCCTGGAGTACATACTAGATGGACACAAAGCCCCAGTGCAAGGCCCTCCTAGCTTGCAGACACCCAGGGAACATCAGCTGGGTCAAGCATGGCTGCCACTGTGCACATACTGTTTACCTAGCATTGTCCTTGGTGTGGGAACACAGAGAAAGAATGAACAAGGAAAATAACACCACTTTATA